GGGGGTCTAATGGAATAATATGGGCATTCTCTCTTCTAGTTTAATCTTGCTGTAGCTTAGTATAGTCTTTCTTTTTGTTCTTATTTGGTCAAATACGTGTGCACACATTCATATTTCCTGAAATTATTTTCTGCCTAGGGATTATCTTATATATATTGTATAAGTTACTTCATGTACTTCGTACTTCCTTGAGACTCTTGATCTTATTACATGCTGACCCCTACTTTTACCTCTTGAAAAAATGTCCTTGGTGGTTGAAACATTAGACTTTTGGGTCCAGAGCTCATGAATTCAGCCTTGAGTCAGCTCTGCTTCTGGGTTTGCTGTGCTTTGCTACTTATCTTTGGTTTCAGTGGTTGAGTTTCCACCACGAGGGGCTAAATCCCCAGCTGCTGCCTGTCTGAGTGATCTAGCTTCTGCTTACTACCTGCCATCAGAGTTGCTGATGGTAAACTCTGTTCACCTACGGGGCTAGCCAACTGTTGTTTATTTCTAGACCTCATGAAAGCTAACACCTGCATGCCTGAGCTTCCTTCCCTGACCAGCCACTCTTCCTTTTAGTTTTCTGCTAGGCTTTTCCGAACAGCCTTTACATTTGTCCAGTTTGGCCCTGGGTGGGACAGCCTAACTTCTTTGTCCGGTCTCCTCCAGATTGGCCATTTGTGTTACTGACAAAGCAAAACATAATGGTACACAGTTGAAATGTGTGAGAAGCCAAAGGTAGTGACAATGAATATATACTAGTATTTAAGTAAAACCAAAGTCCCCCCCCCCCATCTTATGTTATTTTAAACCACAGTGAAACAAGTTGTGTGTGTGTGTGTGTGTGTGTGTGTGTGTGTATGTTTTGTTGTTGTTTTTTATGACAATCCCTATCCCAATAATTCTGTATAGAAATATTTGGTTCCAGGCAAAATGGAGTCAGAATGAAAATGTATTCTTTTTTCAGGGAAGGAAGAGAGTTGGGGGAAGGTGTGGTACTTAATTAACAAAATATATAACTTATAATTGGAGGAAAACTGTACAGATGTAAACATGGAAATTTTTTAAAGTATTTTGTATCTTAGTTTGAACTTTTAAGAAATCTCCTTCAATGACTTTCCCCCTCTACATTGCTACTCTAGAGCAATGGAGGAAGCAATTGCTTTCTCTTTCTTATAAAAGAAGTTGCTTCCTCCATTGCTCAATATCTGGTTAGCTAGTGCTAATATTGGTTATGGAAGTTTGCTTTCTATTCTGAAATTGGAGACTTCTGTCAGAACCAGGCCAGTCATCCTATAAATACTATCTGTAGTGTCACCTGGCTGGAGAGTAGGACTGAATTTCATGGACTACACATGTGGGTAATGTTTCTGATGAAAGGTCAGTGACATCACCTTGGATGAAGAAAAGCTTTAATTTTTCTCAAAGAAACCACTTTCCTGACTTTTTTCTCCTTTAATTTTTGTTTCTTTGGCAGATTTATCAATTGGATGATATTTTTGTGGGAGTGCAATTTTCATTGCTCCTATTCTTATTTGGTGTTTGGCTTCTTGGGAAATAATGACTTTCCTCCTCCATTCATATGTGCATCTTTCTCATTTCCAGTGTTCATATGAAGGACAAAAGCACAACCATGACAATCTACAATATACACTGAATGGCCAGGTTATTATGATTTCTGAACACATAATAATCTGGCCACTCAGTGTATATCTTATATAATAAAAGGTTAATATGCAAATTGTCCCCTCCATAAGGAGTTCAACCAGCAGGCAGGCTGGCCAACTGCCCAGGTCCCCTCCCCCTGGCCAGGCAGGTGGATCCCACCCATGCATTAATTCATGTACTGAACCTCTTATACACTGAGTGGCCAGACTATTATGTGTTCAGAGATCATAATAATCTGGTCACTCAGTGTATGGTGAGCTATTGGCCACCTATTGAACCTTTTCTGCCATTAATAGCTCTCAGGCTCCAACCTCCTTCCTCCCCCCCCCCCCTTTTTTTTTTTCTGAACACAGGGATGAAAATGAGGCCAAATAAACTGAAGCACAAATATTATGTCTTTTTAGAATTGCCTAAAACTATGGTCAGCAAACTGCAGCTTGTGAACCACATGCGGCTCTTTGGCCCCTTGTGTGTGGCTCTTCCACAAAATATCACAGCCTGGGTGAGTCTATTTTGAAGAAGTGGTGATAGAAGAAGTTTAAGTTTAAAAAATTTGGCTCTCAAAAGAAATTTCAATTGTCGTACTATTGATATTTGGCTCTGTTGACTAATGAATTTGCCAACCACTGGCCTAAAACTATGGTTGCTGAAATGGTTAGCTGGTGTTCTGTTATCCAAACAACAATTACTCAGCCCAAAGTGATTTTAGATTTAAAACAGAAGTTGTATCTTTCTGTAATTATGGCTATTTGATCACTGATTCTGACACTTTTACATTTTCAGTATTGTGAGAGAGAAAATTCTGTTTCAAGATTTGCCCTTTAAGAAATTAGGAAATTAAAAATTAATTTGATTGAATATTTAACATTTACAAAAAGAAAATTCCAGATGTCATTCTAGCTATTAAAAGACAAGTATTCCCTTTCCAAGTCCTCACATACCTAGCAAATTCCACCAGCTTTAATATATTGATAACACCTTAGGATGAAAAGTTTAAAATCTTGTCAAATATTTTCAGATAATCTCACACAGCTAAAGGGCTTGCAAAACAGGGCAAACTCTGACCAATGGGTATTGCCAATTAAAAAGATGTCTCTGAAGTACTCTATGCTTCATGAAACTTTCATTGGCATATTATATATTAGGCAGTGAATCTTAACTTTCTAATCTAGTTTTTGAATTACAATTTTTACATATGGAATGTTATGTGATTTATAAAGAGTCTATTTGATAAATGGTGTCCAGGCTCAGATTTAGGACAAAACATACTATCTTCAACTAAGTGCCAGTTTGGGACTCATTTGAGGATTCCTATGATCTCATTTTCTTTTTCATTATTTTGGATCTCATCCCGCACTCTAAAGATGTGACAGTGGTTCCTCTCCACTGAGAAGTGAAACATGAAATGTTAGAGGACAGACTTTGAAATTATAAGGCTATGAAATTGAATTTTATCTTGGCAATTTAACATTCTTTCATAGTAACGTTTTCCTAATAATATCTCTATAACTTAATGAGAGATAATATATGCTAGTTCCTTAAAGGCACATTATAAACATTATCTGGTTTAATTTTCACACCACCAACGTAAGATAGATGTTTCCATCTACATATTATATATAAAGCAATTGAGTCTTAGAGAGGCTAGGTAATTCTTCCAGTTTCATACAGTAAGTGCCAGGAGTCAATATTCAAAGTCAGATTGCTTGTTCCCTTTGTGAGAAATGGTATTGGATTTTCATGCAAGGTTGTTGCGAGAATTTAATGAGATAGTGTACAGATTTCCAGCACTGTAGAAATGCTCTATAAATTGGAATTACATTTACCATTTCTCTTCTTAACTCTATATTCTATTTCTAGAAATCTCTTTTAGCCTTCCCCCCCTCCTCTTATTTTTCTCATTGTTACCATCCCAATTCAGGACATGATTACTTTTCCTTTGAATTGTTTTCCCTGGCCTTGTTTCTTAGCATTTCATCTCCTTTTTCTTTCCATACATAGCCTAAGATATTGCATTGGTCATATGACCATCTTCACACCCTTCTTCTTGTAAGTTATTCATAAATATAGACTAATTCCTTGTGACTTATAAAGCAAAGTTTCAATTGCTTAGCATGACTTTTAGGATCTTCCTCAAAGTAGCCATGTACTACCTTTCCAAGCTTAGTTATACTTCATGGTAACAAACATAAGTAGTCTCTCTCTCTCTGAGCAAGACTGGCATGTGCCTGTTTTTGCCTCTCTAGGATTGCTCATGCTAGGATTTCCTCTGAGATGTCTTTCTTTCCTTCTCCTTACTTCCACTGTTGCCTGTCGTTTCCACAAATCTCTTTGGCTAGTTGAAAACTACTTCTATTATAAAACTGTTCCTACCTTTAGCCAGAATCTTCCCTCTGCCTTTCATTTCTAGAACTGCAAAATTCTGTTACATTACTTAAGTTTTCCTTGTACTAAAATTAGTTGTGTCCACATTTTCTTCCAGTGTTAATTCTGTTCTCATTGAAGACCATTCCTTATTCATCTTTTTCTGTTGCACATAGCATTACATAACAGATTTCTACATCTGATAGAAACTTGAAGATTGAATTTAATTACCGGTAAGTAAAGCTCAAAAGAGAGAGACTCTGAGGTAGGGCAAAAAAGCTTTGAAAATAGGCAGAACCAATTTAAACAAGACAGTTGCCAATTAAGAGCCTAGTTAGTCTTTAGTCTCATATCTGTCAAGTGGGCTGATTCTATTTCAGATGAATGTTGGGAAAACTGAGGTAGAATTAACCAATAGCTAACACTGCAGTATGTGATATGTGTCAGGCCCTGTTTTAAGCACTTTAAATATACTGATTCACTTAATCCTTGTACCTGCCCTGTGAAGTAAGTGCTATTATGATCTTATTTTTATTTATTTACTAGAGGCCTGGTGCACAAAATTTGAGCACTGGAGGGAGAGGAGGGGTTGGGGGTAGAGGTGAGGGAGAGGGTGTCCCTCAGCTCAGCCTGCACCCTCTCCAATCTGAGACCCCATGGGGGATGTCTGACTACTTTCTTAGGCCTGCCTGCCTGTCTGATTGCCCCTAACCACTCCCCTGCCAGCCTAATTGCCCCAACTGCCCTCCCCTGCTGGCCTGGTCACCCCTAACTGCCCTCCCCTGCAGGCCTGGTCACCCCCAATTGCCCTCCCCTGCCGACCTGGTTGCCCCAACTGTTCTCCCATGCCAGCATGGTCCCCCTCCCCCCCACTGCCCTCCCCTGCTGACCTGATTGCCCACAACTGCCCTTCCCTGTCGGCCATCTTGTGGTGGCCACGAGGGTGCAATGCCACCTAGGTTTTTATTATATATTATATTATTTATTTTAATATGGAATGCTTCACAAATTTGCATGTCATCCTTGCACAGGAAACATGCTAATCTCTGTATTGTTCTAATTTATAGTGTATGTGTTGTCAAAGTAAGCACTGATCTTGTTTTTTGAGTGAGCAAACTGGGTCACAGAGGTAAGGTGTCTTGCCCAAGGTTACACAGCTAGTAAGTGGAAAAGCTGGGATTGAGAGTAAGCATATGTGCAAGCATTGTGCCTTATTAGATTTCCTCCTCTCTATAAGGTGAGCATGTTTCCCTAAATTGAAGGTGGGGGATATTATATTCATTGATTCAGCAAGTGCCTGTCCCAGTATCAGTGTACCTGCCAGGCAGGATGTGGTCTGCCCTTAAGGCGTCTCAACATCACAGGGGAGGCAGGTGAGCATTGGGACAAGTCCTGTGGCAGCAGTAGACACAGCATGCCCTGGGAGAGCTGACACATTTCCTGTTCACTCAGGCTTTCCTTTTTGGTTCCTTCTTACTTTTAAAGGGGGAATTTCTTATTTCTCTGCTTGATGCCATAACAATAAAGTGACTTAGAGAAGTCCTGACATGAGGTTTAGAGCTCTAGTACCCAAATAGCCATCATATCCAAAGCCTCACATTTTTATCCTTTTCTGTTACTGAGATCTTTGATGTTTTAAAATCAGATGGGTTGCAACATGGACCATGGTCTGTAGATTAAATGAAACATTAAGGAAGATAGTTTGATACTCTATCAGAGCATACTGAGAAGTTTCTCTGTGCCTGAAACAAAATGTGGGTGAACTAATCTTACTCCTTGGTCTTACATACTAAATTGAATAATGTCAAACAAGATGAGAGAAGCAGTCATATATCTACGAGATGCTGTGCAATAGAAGTTAGTCTTTAATGCTTTATATTAAAATATTTTCAACATTCTATCCCACCAACTATCCCAAAATAAACAGAAGTAAATACACACACAAATGTATTCCAATAACACATATTCAGTCTACTTTAAGGTAAAATCATGTCTATCTCTATAAATATAGATATAAATATAGAGATAGAGAGATATATACTAATAGATCTAGATCTAGATATAAATGGATATATATATATATATATATATATATATATATATATATATATATATATAATCTCACAGGGGAGGCAGGTGAGCATTGGGACAAGTCCTGTGGCAGCAGTAGACACAGCATGCCCTGGGAGAGCTGACACATTTCCTGTTCACTCAGGCTTTCCTTTTTAGTTCCTTCTTACTTTTAAAGGGGATATATATATATACTATTAGATATATAGATATAAATATAGAGATAGAGAAACTATGGAAATAGATATAGATTTAAACAAGTACCTATTTAGCAGGATAGCTCAGTTCCTTTCATAATGTGATAGATACAAAAATAAACTTTTGATGGAGAAGGTAAGAGATGTGAAAGAGACTAACTAAACAAACAAGGCCTTGTTTAGTATAGTTATATCCCTCAGTGCTTGTCATATGGACTTTTCAGACCACCAATTTGCATACTTATCATGGCACTAGGTATATGGATTTGCAATTTTTACACTCAGTCTTATTTTTTGTAGTCTATAGGTATTCTTGTCAAAAGGAGGGTAATTCTACTTGTTGTTGAATAGGTTTCTGAGAATTGGCAGCAGACTGAGCACTTGATGACATCCCAGGAGTAGAAGTGTAGACTACTCAGAATTACCAAGAGTCAGAATTTGTCCAGAAGCTGCCCCAGGAGGGATGGGAATCCTTTCCAGATAGTCTTTATATTTAAATATGTTCCCTTCATATCTTTGACATCCAAAAGAATATCAAAGTATCAAAGAAAATGAAAAAACAAAGTGGTGTCCTTTCCCCCTGTCTAATCAACTGTCTCTGTCAATGTTTAAATGACACTTGAGTTCTGGCCTGACTATATTAGTATGGTTATCGGAGATGGGGAATGTGCCAAGCACTATGCAGATGGAGAAGAAGGCCAAGGGATGCCCACATTTATCTAAAATTGGATGAGGGAGGGAGGTGATGGAGAAGAAGGATGGAACTCCTTTTTACTTAGTAGCAACTATGCCACAAATATTTTACTGCCTTATATAACACTACTGTTAATAAACAATCACAGTCATAGCTAACACATTTAGGGTGCTTTCATGTGTCAGGCACTATTTTTAAATACTATATACTTAGACCTTTAAAAATACTTATAATGTTGAGACTAATGGCCAAGTTTAGATCCTGCCCAGAAATGCACTTTCCCTGAGTCCCTGCTTTCAACTGTTTTCTCTCATAACTGGACTGGTTGAAGGCTGTAGAATTTGTGTATAAATTAATGAAAGACTGAACTGCTTTTTGCAGCATGCATGGAGCTCTGGACATTGAAGATCACATGACTCATTAGTGTGCCTCTCAGCTAAGTTCCTTTGTCAAAATAAAGCAAAGGCCTGGGCAAACACAACATTAGTCATGGATAGAACTGCAAGAAAATGACTTAATTGTGAGATCAGTGTTTTAAACATACTAGTGGTCCGACTTATTTTTCTGTAGCCCTAATTCTTAGTCTTTCTACAAATTTCCTTTTAGGCATTTGGCTTTCTTGTTCAATTCTTCCTGCCCATATTGCTATTTTTCTACCGACCACCCCAGGCAAAAGAATAAAAATGTCAAACAAACAAAGAGCACCTTGTGTAACATTCAGTCAAAACAATACAAGAGATCCATCTTTCTTTATTCTTTTATGGCACATAATGTAATTATTTTAAATATTTCTAATTTGGTTGTCTGCTCATGTCATTGTGGGCTTGCTGTGATCATCAGAATAAAAGTCCTGTTTTATGTACATTTTTCAAGAATTAAGCTGGCTAGATAGCTTATGCCCTTTAGTGTTCTACACAATCAGTCAACCAAACCAATAAACACAACTTCTGCTATCACCATCACAACTGGACAAAGAATTGTCGAATGACTGCTCTTAGTTGCCTTTGCTTTGATTTCTTTTTTTCCTCTGAATTTTAAAATTTCCCCAGTGTATCCCACTTTTTGCAACTTTTCTGTTTGTCTATTCTTGCACATTTGTCAAAGCAACATTAGTAAAGGCATATTTGTACTTGAAGATTTTATTGAGGGTTTGGGAGCATTAGAAGTTGGTTATGTTGCTGCTGCACTGCAAATGAGCTACATTTGCATTTTAGACATTCCTATTTTTAAAGTCCGAAGGCATTACCACTGCAGGTATTTCTCGATGATCATCTTTTTCTCAGGGGCTTCAACCTTCTGCTCTCTGGATAGGCAGCTGCTGTTCTGAGATTGTGCCAGAACTATCCAAATTCTCATTTTCTCCTATTTTTGTGAAAAGCAGGCTGTGAGGGTTTATGAGATGACAAACCTCCCTTTATCTACAAACATACGTGCTTGCTCTACTATCATGAATGCTCCTAGAACAGGAAAAGTTCCATTTCCCAAGGCTAAGATTATATGTTTCAGCCGAGGAGACAGGTAAAGCATGAAGTGTCCTGGAGCATGTTTCCCTCTTCCTATAAGAAGTGATGTAGCCTTGCTTTTGAATGATTTCTTTTAGAGGTTAAAGAAATGTGTGTCTCTCTCTCAGTAGTCCACATGAGAACTGAAAAGCCATAACTGAAAGTTACTTCATACCATTATTTTGGTTATAAAACAAAGTATTGAGCCACCTCACCACCAGGGAAGGTTATGTTCATGGACCTTGAGTGACCTCTCTCTGCCTATCTTAATTCAGAAGGGAGAGGTCATCACTATTAGGAATTTTGTAACCTAAAGGAGGAAACCTTGCCAGCATATTATTGTGGTGACTATATAAGTAATATGTGATTATTCTTAATACTCATTTGAGTAGAAAATTAAAGATGTTATTGAAAAACCTTTTTGACTGAGATCTGTGTCGTGGAGTTCTAAGTTTCTTACTGTTTTATGAAAGGAACCAATTAATTATATAGAACATTGGCAAGGAGAATCCATCCTTGATATTTTGCTAAGAACCCCTAAAAGTTAAAAAAATAAATCCCTAAATTTCCCCAAGCCTCAAAATCCAAGTCTAGCTTCTTTTTATCTGCAAAATAACTCAAATTTCCCTCCCTCTTTCTTACCTTCCAGTTCCTTCCCAGGGCTAATCATTTCATATCAAAATTACCATATTTTCCGGCGTATAAGATGAGCCCCTAATTTTACAGTTAAAACATAGGTCTAGGCCTATATTCGATGTATAAGACTACCCCCTACTTCAAAGAAAAGACTTACTTTGCCGTCAAGATCTGCAGGTAATTTTTGTGCAATTTTGGTTTTTTGCTCCTGATTTTCAGTTGACTTTTTTCGTTTCAAAAGTCATCAAGAAGTTTTGTAAAACAAACATAAATTATCACTTTTGGCTTAATGATGAGGCTGCTTCCTATAAATAACAGTTTTGCCCCTCAGTGCTCATGATCATGCCACCCAGCCCTGAAATCTTACACTGGGATTCGCAGTCCCCTGTGGCCCACTTTTTGTTACATTAGATGTAAATCTCTTCTCCCTTTTCCTTCCCATTCTTCCTAGATCATCCAAGTTTTATCCCTTTTCTACCCTGTTCAAGTATTCTCATGTGAAATATATGAAATCCCCATTAAGGCATTTTAAGAAATATTTGCTGAAATAAACCAGAAAAGTGTAAGCACAGAAAATGTAACTTCATGTAGGCTAATACTTAGGCTTCCCAGATGGAGTTGAGGAAGACAGGCAAGGCTGCCTGCTGCTTGGTGTCGCTCCACCAGCATATTTTATTTTGTGAAATGCACCATTTTGAGGCAGCATGAACAATGGCGAGTTTTAAATAATGAAACATGAGTATTATAAATTTTATGGTGCATGAGGTTTGTGGTTGGGAAAATATTTTAATCATTTCATATCAAAATTACCATATTTAACCACTCCTGTGATCATTTCTCTGAGAATTTGGCTAATAAGAAGTATTCCTTCAAATGAAAGGACAGGTTTTACCATTTTACTTCTTTATTTTACCATTAAAATGATAAACAGAATGCTATGAAGCATTTGTTATCACCATTTATTCTCTGGCTCATTGCTGTCCTAAATAGTC